GTATAAAACAAGTCGACATGTAATTGTCTGATGATATATTACCCACAAACAATTTCGAACGGAGATTGGAACTGTCCATTACCGTGGTGAAAAAACCATCGCCATGTATATCGTAACTTAACCACTATATTCATAAAATGTTGTAGTATTGTAACAAAATCTTTTCCTTATGGTGGAAAGTGGAAAAACTTATGTTTTTAAATGTCAATTTAGACGATTCGCGATTTAATAATGTGTAATGTAAATGTAACTATTTAAGTACAATTTGTATTATTTAATTTATTTTTCAAGTTACAATAAATATATCATTCGTTAGGTTCTTTTATTTCAATACTTATACACATAAACGATAATAGCTAATATGTTTGTGTACTCGCTAATTTGAATACTGGTAAACAATCAACTAGTTACAGTTTACGAAAAACGGTTCCGATAAAAATTAAAAAAACGAGAAGACCCACCTCTAGTTTTTTAGGTATATTAGGATCGGAACCAGAGAATATCTGATCGGAACTAATCGTCTCACTAATGGGCAATGGCCAATGAGTGTTAAAAGGATTTTAGGAGGGGAGACGAAGGGGAAATATGATTGTTATCTTTGTCTAATTCGTTGAAAATATGATTTTATATCTGCGTTAGATATCCTGTTAAATTTTACCATACCGACCTTAAAATTTTACCTACACTGTATATATATATATATATATATATATATATATAAACGTTTTCATCACACAGCAATTCTATAAGTAGAAAATGATGTATAATGACGAGATCGTATGTTAAACTTTCAGATTGTTTAATCTAATCAAAAAAAATAAGTATTTTCCACAGTTTTCTGTTTTTTGAAGTTCTGTATTAGGTATTCTCTAATAAGAATAAAATTTTACTTTAATTTGTTAAAATTAAGAACCATAAGATACCTGTCAGAAGACACATAATAATTTAATAATTATATCGGTCTTATATTTAATTTTTACGTAATTACTTATGTGTTTATATAAATAATTAAAATTTTTTTGGTACGCCTCTGTGAAATTGATAAGTGGAAATGATTTCTTTGAAAAGTTACCGTTTAGAGCTTCGTTAAGTTTGATGTTGCCAAGTAATCATCTTCATTAAAAATTGTTTTAGTATAGTTAGGGATCAGTAACTAGAGGTGTACAATTTTTCAGCTTGACCGTATTCAAATTCTAAATATAAGGAACTTTACGGAGACATTTCCCACAAAAGAAGCTAACTTAAACCCAGAATCTTCCGAAAACACATTTTAACAAGATGTGTTCACGCCCCACGTGTCTCCTTTTAAATAATTTTTTCGTTATATAAATAATTTGTGTAAAAATCTATTTATACTTCATCTAATTTACATATCGATTCACGTCATTATCTACGTCAGAGATCGAGGTTGACATAGTTGCCAAAGTATAAAAAAATCCTGTCTCAATTTTAAATCAAATAGATCACATAATTATTGCAAAAGTATTACCATCTCTTTACAACGACTATTTAAATTCTTACGTGACATTTTTGAAATAAAACACACTAATTTTGTTCTAAAAAGAACAGATTTTATTAAATAGGTAAAAATATAAAACAAAAGGTATTCACTTTAAAATTTAAATAATAAAGTACAAAAAGTGTCAACACCGCAACTGTCAAATAAGCGTTACCAATTTATGCCAAAATTTCACCTTCGTTCGATTACAGTTACAGTGTGTTCCGAACAAATGTTCTTCATAAAAACGCTTTATAATGCATTTATACAAATTAAATGAAACATATTATTGTGTATTTCTTCAAGTTAACATTAATAGAAATTTTTAAATATTATTTCTACGCGTATATAATAAAATATGTCTATACTACGTTCCACGTTTAGAAAATAACATTGCGGAGACAGGGCCATGTATTTCTTATGGACGATAGCAACGCGGCGTTGCCACGACACACACAAGCACAATTTAAGGTTGTATAATTTGTATTTTCGTTTCCACAAACATGAATTAAATTAATGTTTTTTAACGTAATTGACCAAAAGTGCCCATTCGAAACAAGAGATGAAAAGTAGGGAAAATGATTTTAATTAGATAAATAGTATTTACAAAAGATAATTTTATTTTATCTTATTTTAATTATAGTAACGACCGTTTATTTGTTTTTCGGTGAGAATAGATATGCCATGAATCATAGAAATCAGTAGAAAATATGCTTGGAATGCGTATATCTAATTACTAATTGCAACTTAAAATAATACGATGTGCGTATGTCAGCTATTTTATGTCATTCTCTGACTACATAATGATAATAAGGCGTTTATTTAGTAGTTATTCTGACTTTACAGTTAAATGTTAATTGAAAATGAAAATTCAAAAATTAAGCAAAGGGAATATCTTGGACATCCGTGCAAAAGAGAGTGTCTGAGAATTTTGGCAACACTGATCTCTATAAGCGTAATGTTATTTTCTTAACTTGAAACAAAGAATAGTGGCTGTAATGCCAGTTTACTCGGCAAAGTGATTCTAAAAAAGAACACATTATCGCCTAAATATTTCGTGTTGGTATCATGTGACGTCACGGGCTATGACGCCGATGACGTGCATCGGTATTAGATGAAGTGTACCCAGTTATGACACATTCAGTTTAAAGCAGGTATTTACATAAATTTAAAACCTCAATATCGTAAAACTCGTTTTATCGCTAGAATATAAACATGTAATGTATATAAATTAGTGTAATGCATTCACAGGGAATTATTATTTTCGATGTCGTCATACTGTTGTCTATTAGACAGCTCCGCTGACCATTTTAGTAAACTGACCTACGTCAATATATTGTAATAATTAAATGTAGGTGACTTTATTAAATTCCTTTTTCAAAAAACTGCTTAATTTGTCTACTCGGAAAATAAGTCATATAAGGTTCACCATCCCAACGGAATTGCAGAACACATCGTTTAAATTTTGTTCACGAGCAGATTAATTGGTACCTTCGACAATGGATGCAATCACCGATAACATAAGATTTCGTCCAATACATTATAAAGGTAGGTATGTTCAGATTCAGACTCCAAAACTCACGGGATGCCAAAAAATTTGGGATAGGATAAGATGACCTTGTAATAATTCCGGGAAATCTAAAATCCCAACAAGAACGTACCTGCAGTTTATTGTATCGGTTCCGATTGAATACCGATGCAGGATATTTCAAAACCACACATTGCAGACATTATCACAAATTGTCTGTAAGAGCAGAAAACAACGAATTGGCCTGGCGTTAGTCCCAGCTTGAATTATATAAAGATATATTTCTTGAGGTCTTTCTAGACCATGTTCTCAGGTTAGCAAGACTGGATATTCTTCTTCGTCCTGAGGCCCCTTTTCCTTCAATTTTGCCTTGCAAAATGCATTGGAGTAGCTCATATCTGCTTTGATTTCTCATTATATGTCCCAAGTACTGCAGCTTACGACCCTTTTAAGATGTTGACTGTTAACTTTTTCTGTCCATGGTATCTTCAGGATCCTTCTGTACAACCATAGCTCAAAAGCCTGAAGTTTTGATAGAGTTTCCGCCTTCAAAATCCACGTTTCTACTCCGTGCAGAAGCACTGAGTACACACACTGAGCTCATAGTCAAGAATGTAGCTTTCCGATGCAACATTTAATCTCTTGGGTATTGTCCCACGACTTATTGATTATAGTTCCCAACTAGTTGTACTGTGAGACACGTTCAATTCTCATTGGGTTAACATACAGATTTGCTCCAGTTATGTTTTCCTTGCTGATGATCATTAGCTTGGTTTTGCTAGTGTTTATATCCAGTCCATATGTTCTACTTGTTCCCGTTATTTTGTTCATTAAGTTTTGCAATTTATTGAGATTTGAGATGCCTTCATCAATATCTTTTAGAGCCTCTTCAAAAATGTGCTCCGAGTACAGATTGAATATCAGTGGTGAAATGCACCGCTGATTGATTCCAATACAGGTAGCTATTATTTTTAGGTCCCTTCTGTCAATCCCTGTCCCCTTCAGCACTTCCATAATTTGTTCATGCATTTCTCTATCGAAAGCCTTCTTGTAGTCAATCAGGCATGCAAAAACATCTCAGCTGACATCTTCAGTTGTCTGACGGCTGCCGTTATTTCTTCTGGTAGGATTGCGGGGCCTGAATGTTCTTCAATGGTGGGTTCTTGTATTGTTCTAAGGTCGTGGAAAAGTTGCTCCAAGTATTCTTCCCATACTTTCTTTTTATCTTCTTTGGTTATGGCAAGATTACCTTTATCATCCGTTTTGATTCCTCTTTTGCGTTTTCGGAACTTTCCGGCTATTCCCTTCACCTTTCGATGTGCAATGAAGTTGTCATATCGACTCTGATACTCCTCTCTTTCTTGACATTGTTGTTTTTTGTTGCTCTTAGGCTTCTCTTATTTCTTTTCTGATTCTTCCCATACTTTCTTTTTATCTTCTTTGGTTATGGCAAGATTGCCTTTATCATCCGTTTTGATTCCTCTTTTGCGTTTTCGGAACTTTCCGGCTATTCCCTTCACCTTTCGATGTGCAATGAAGTTGTCATATCGACTCTGATACTCCTCTCTTTCTTGACATTGTTGTTTTTTGTTGCTCTTAGGCTTCTCTTATTTCTTTTCTGACGATGGTATGAATTCTCTTATATTCTTGGAGCTTTTCTTTGTTTTTTTTAAGAGTAAAAAGAAAAAAGACTTACAATTGGTGTTTATTGTAACTACGGCGATAAGTTTTAGGCTCTACGAGTACAGATTCAACTTATCATCAGATCCAAAGAAGTAACTCATTAAGTAATGTGTTAACATTTTGACCTGATAATGGTTTAAATTTGTAGAGCCCAAAACCGGTCGTCATAGTTACAACAAACACCAATTGTGAGTCTTTTTTCTTATCACCACTTGAATTTTTTTACAGAGTATGTATGTATAAATTAAGAAACAATTTTTTAATCATGATATAAATACCACGTCTACATACCTGGTAAAATTCTGCAAATTGACCTGGAACTAAAGCAACTGGATAGTTTCCTGGATGAGGGGCAGGTACTGCTGGTACCATTTTACCTTTGGGATAATGTACAGTGAGATTTTGTAAATCCATACAAGTCTTTCGTGTCTCTTTCCTTGTCTGAAAAAAAAAATGCCCATTAAATATTCAAATGTCTAGTAGAACCTTCTCCATATTTCTTTTGTAGTCCGTACACCTTTTGATATTTTATGCTGATTATAAATTAAGTGTAGTTTTATTCGTTTTTAAGCCATGATCTTTAATTATTTTTTTCTGACGAATATTGAAATTAAATACTTATGATACATTTTTCTAAAGACTGTGTAACGTTACATCAGTAGTACATTGCAATTATTTCCTATTAATTTTAATCCTTAACACTTATTCAACACTTACCTTGTTAAACCTGGCGTTCCACTGCGCAGCTGAATGTATAGCCTGCTCTGTAATATCAGCCTTACATTTATCCTGCGCTGCTGCCAGACTCAACGCCTTTTGTTTATTTATCAACTCCTTGGCCTGCCGATCTCTTTGGTGTTTGCAATATTCTTCATATTTCTCTTGAAAATCAGTATACATGATGTCTAAAATGTCAGCTGCATTGACAGCCGTAAGGCCCAAGTCACACATATTCTCTGAAGCAAGACCTGAAGCAAAATAAAGCAAAAACATTATAAATTAATGATATATAAAATAGATCATATTTGGGTGCAGAGTCGAACAAATCACTTATTAGTTATCCTTCTTTTAAAACTATATAAATTCTATTTGTACTAAAAGGTTACCATTTCTTTCAGAGTCGCTTACAGTATATTATTTGTTGTCCCTATAAAAATGGATTCATTGTATATCAGTGTATGATTTTTGAGATATAGCGATTTTCCTTTGCTTTTTGCTATAGTTTTTCATTGTAATAAGTGTACAACTTAAGTATTGGATCATGTGATATTATCTATTGTGTAATGTAAATTTGTTTTATTTTTTTTACACAAGATTAATTTTGATAGCAGTCAATGTATGTTTTAATGTAGCAATCAAGGAATAAGCGATTTTGTTGATATAATTATTTACAAAGATAATCTAATTCTTCACAACAATAATCGAATTCTTCACAATGATAATGTGAACTAGAAACCACCTCGAATTGGCGGGGTTCATATTTATGAACCTCGTGTGTAAAATTAATTTAAATATTTAAGTGTGAGCGTAGCCTATATTCTACCTATGTATGCTGTTTAGTTTATTCCATGCTATATGTAGCCTTTATTCCTTGCTATCGTGCCTAAGGGAAATCTTTCGTCTTTCCTTTTTTTCATAGTCCCAAGGTGGTCATAACGACGAATATAACGTCAGAACCTCATTTATCCAAAACATTTCTGACATCCTATTCGCTGTGTGCAAGTACTTGAAGGGGATACAAGAAACGATAGTGCGCGTACGTTAGCATATTTCATAAGTAGTTATTGAAGAAAATGGCATTTCGCAAATGCTGTGTTTTAAATTGTAAAAATACAACAAAAAATAGTAAATTCAAGTTCTATCGGTTTCCAATTTATGGGCACAAATTAATACAACGAGAAAAGTGGATTTATATCATAATAAAGCAAAAGTAACATAATCCAACTTTTGCATTATTACGCCTGATTTCATAATAAGTTTGACGTGATCAAACTTCATTTTATCGTGTAACTTTTAATAATAATCATGTTGGTTTAAGTTTGTTTACATTTTTTTTTTCAAACTCAAAAAAATGCTAAATATTTCTTCAAGTTCGGATTACGCCACCCAAAAGTTGAGAGAAAAAGAATTAATTATTTAAACCAGTATGATGTATGTTTCTTTGAAAGGTTTGGATTGACAAATCTTTAACATTCGTTAAAGTGTACTTTAGGTTGTCATTATGAAATCAGGCGTTAATGTCGCTGCAAAATATTGATATGATATGCAATTATTAATATATGTTGTATTTTAAAGTGGATATGACAATTGAAATCCTACACCTTCTCAACTTCTCTGCAGTGTTTATTTTATTGGAGATAAAAAAGATGAAAGTGAGCTAAGTCCCAATTATGTACAATATTCTCACCAAAATTGGAGAATAAATTAATTCAAAAGGCATCTCTAAATAGACATAAGCGTTTCAAAAAGCGTTGTATACAAAAAATCACCATTAATTGTAAATAATAAGCCCATCAGTTCTGTGAATGAACTGCAAGTCAGATATAGCAGCCAATTTAATAAGTGAAAATGTGTGTGATACGATACAAGTCAGTAGCTAGTACGGGTGGCAGTAAAAGTGACCAAGCATGTTAAGTTGATATTTTTGTTCGTTGTAATGATGTTGAAAAATTTTGTGTTGTAATAGATTTATTTTTGGATCTAATTCTTGTGAAGCAGAAACTCAATTTTCCATACAATGGATTTAATGGTGAAGAAATTTTCAAATGGACTGTTACAAGTGATGAAAAATTAACAGATCTTGCTGGAGTATCTTTTGATACTTTTAACTATTTATTAAATAAAATAAGTATTAAAAAAATGTTCAGATATCCAAAAAAAAATTAGGCTATTTATTTTTTCTTTTAAAAATAAAAACTACCTTAACATTTGCAGCAATAAGTTCAATGTTTTCTATTCATCGAACAACTATATCCAGGATTTTTTATTTAACTTTAGATAATCTAGCTGAAGTAACTGCAACATTAGTTTTGTGGCCAGATAAATCAAGTGTCCGAGTAACAATGCCAGATTCCTTCAAACCAAAATATAGCAATACTCGTGTCATTGTTGATTATACTGAATTTAAAATTGATGTGCCTTCTGCAGTAGATGATCGTGTGTATTGATATTCTCATTACATAAAAGGGTTTACTCTCAAATTATTAATTGGTTTCCCTGCAGCTTCATATGTTTCAAATCCCCAGCAGCAGGTGGTAGAAAAAGTGATTCTCAAATAACAATTGAATCAGGTTTAATTTATTTACTAGAAGAAGAGGATGTAGTACTGACAGATAAAGGATTACCAGATATCCAAACTATGATTGACAGTAAGGCAAAATAATTCTTCTTGTTGCGCCATTTTTTTTGAGAGGAAAAAAGAATTTTCTCAACAAGAAACTGAACAAACTTTATATTTATGGCATTTATTATATATATATATATATATATATATATATATATATATATATATATATATATATATATATACATATATATGTAATAAATATGATTGCATATGTGCAAAATATATATAAAGGCATACAGTTTAATATAAATTTAAAATTTTTAATTAAAATAAATTAAATTAATAGTGCGAACGCCTTCGATGATTTCTGCCACTAGATGTCGCTCTTCGGAACTTGCACACAGCGAATAGACATTTTTCATATTATCACTATGGGTGGAGAGTAATGGCAATAATAACACTTAATATACGATAACAATTGTACAATATGCAAATACAAGAGAAAAAAAAAACATTTTTGTTAATCACTCTTGTAATTTTTTTGTCTAATGTATAATCTAATATTATTGTAATTTTGTTTAATGCCTAAGTGTACACTGATCATGTTTTATTTCCTGGTTAGGTAGAATGTAATCAGCGTTGATAAATTAGGAGAATTTACTGCAAATTTATACTGCTTTATCACGAAAATCAAGACGAAGTCAATAGACGTATTGTTGTTTAGTTGAGCCAACTTTAAAATCGAATAAAACCAATCACGAAAATTTTCACGGAAGATTTCCTTTTTTTTATAAAAGGACAGGTAGACTATACTTTTTTTCCAATAGTGAAACTATGAACATAATTTACTTCGAAAATCCTTTTAACCTTTTTGCAATTTATATAGAACTACTGCATTACACAATGAAAATATTTCAATTTGTATATCTTACCTTGCTCTCGTATATAATCCCTCTCCTGCATATCCAGCATTCTTCTCATGATTCCCGGATACTTTCTCTTGAATGACTTAATACCTAAGAACTGAGCTACTTGTTCTTGCAGCATAAACGGTCCGTTTCCTTTCCAATAATATTCGGATAAGAGATCAGCCGTGATCACATTGGTATCGGGTTCTTGTACTTCCAAACGTGGTGCTTTACTAGGTCTAGAAGGAGTTTTCCCACTTTCTGTTGTTCCAGTACTGTGAACTGAACTTTGTGATTCTTCCACTATGTCAGATGAGGTAACAACCTAATTTGTAAGAAAACATAAAACATTTATCACAATATGCAGTCCTGAAGTAAATTACATAATTGTGAAATTATACTATTAATGAATATATACCAAAATACAAATAGATTCAGAAATAGGTATGAAACAGTATAGGCAAAAATATTTATTGATCCCATAGGTCGGTCTAAACAAAAAAAGGGTGATAATACCATAAAATGGCCGGCGAAGATGGCGTGCCAGTATGTGTACACAACTTTTATTGTGAGGAATTACCGTTACAGAAAAGGTGATTAAATCGATTCCATGTTAATTTTAATATGTAAAGAATAATATATTTTGTCTTCGTCTTTCTCTTTATAAGCAATTCTGCTTGTTCATTGGCGGATTAATACCTCTACGGAAGGTTGTCACTCCATCTTTTGCGCGGTCGTCCGATACTTCTTCTGCCGATTGGTGACTTTTACTCTTGCTATTTTCACGACACGGATCTCCCCCGTTCTGCTTATGTGGATATTCCATTCTTTTTTTTTCTATTTTGTGTCCATTCATTGATACACTGTACGTTACATTTTCTTCTAATGTCTTCACTTCTCTTTCGATCTCTCAGCATATTTCTACTCGCATCTTTGCTGTTTCCAGTAGTCTTTGTGTTGTGGCTGCGTCGTGTCTTGTTTCTGGGGCATAGGTCATTATTGATCTTACACTGGCTTTATAAATTCTTGACTTCATATCAGTGTTAATGTGTCTATTTTGCCATATACTGTTATTAAGGCATCATGCCAGTCTATTTGCTTTTTGTACTTGATCTCTAACTTCTTTGTCCAGGTTTCTATACCGGGACAGTGTAATTTCAAGGTATTTTATATCCATTACTTGTTCAATACTGATGCCATCAATTTCTATTTTCCATCTGGTTGGTTCTTTGCTGGTTACTATTGTTTTAGTTTTCTGAGATGAGATTGCTATATTAAATTCTTTTGCACGTATGTTAAATGTGTGGACCAGTCTTTGCAGACTATCTTCATCTTGGGTTATCAATATTGCATCGTCTGTGTAACAGAGTATTTTTATTTCTTTGTTTCCCATTCTGTATCCTGTTCCTTACGCTTTTGATGATTTCATCCATGATTAAATTAAAGAGCATAGGACTCAATGAGTCCCCTTATTCAGCTGCCTATTTCTATAGGTACTGTAAGTTGTCCATCTATTCTGACTTCAATTTTGTTGTTTCGGTACATGTTTTCGATAGTTTTTATAATATTTAGGGGAATTTCTGTACTATACAGAAGATGGATTACATCTTTGAGGCTTACTCTGTCAAACGCTTTCTTTAAGTTAATCAGACGCAGAAATACTGCTTTATTATACTCTAGTGATTTCTCATTAATTTGCTTTATAATGAATATTGCAACTGTACCACTACAAAAACCCTGTTGTTCATCTGCTAAACGTAACCTCTGATTTATTAGTACATACTTGTAAAATTTTATTTGTAAGTGTTAGGGTAGTATTTAACAAGTTTATACCTCTGTAGTTTTCTAGCAATTTTTTATCTCCATTTTTTTGAAGAGTAGAATTAGTTCGCTCGTTCTCCATTCTTCCAGTATTTTATAATTTTATTAATTAAAGTTGTTAATTGTTCTGTCATTGTTGGTCCACAGTATTTCAGTTTTCCTGTCTTTACCTGCTGCTTTTCTGTTCTTTAGCTTTTCAAGTATTTTATGAACTTCGAGTACATTTATATTAAGTTCTTCATTTATGGTAATTTCTGGTGTTTCTGGTTCTAGCGTCGTTTGTTCTTCCTCTGCATAGAGCTTTTTAGGTAGTCAATCCATGTATCCATTTCTATGTGTTTTGGTTCTATTAGTTCCTTTACCTCCGTTATTTGACCTCTTATAAAGCGCCATATTTTTGCAGATCGTAAAAATCATGTTCAATTTCTTTCGAAACCGTTCCCAGTGATCCTTTTTTATTTTTCTTACAAGTGCATGTGTTTTGTTTCTAATTGTCTTGTAATTGGTATGCTTCTTGTGTTTTGGTTGACATGTATTTCAGGTAAGTTTTTTTCTTTTGTTTACATTTTTCCTTAAGGTTCTGTACAAAACCACGGAGTTCTTTACCTTGGGAACGATTTATTTTTATTTATATTTCTTTCACCAATAACTTCCTTGGCAGAGGCTAAGATATCAGACTTAATTTTTGCCCAGCTTTCTTCGACTCCATCACTTTCTGTGATATATGTGTTTCTGCCTTTTTCAGTTATTCTTTTTTGTAATAGCGTTGATTGAATAATCCAAATAGATCTGCAGCCGTACACAAATTAAACGTAGCAACTATTCTGTTCTCAAAAACCGTGTCGCCATCTATGTTCGAGAGAGACAATTACACTACGGTTCAACATAAAAGATTTCTTCTCTTCATATTACCTCCCCTTAATTCTCAACGTAAATATTGCTTCCCCACTTTAATTCCTAAATACAATCATACATTCAAACTGTGCGTTTTGAAATTCTGTAACTTTTTTCTACGAACTTTTAGGTAGATAGAATGGTACATTTTATAGGAAGAGAAGTCAATTACCGTTACGGTTGTATTCTATTGTACGAGGTTGTACGACTATTTTTAAGCAATTTATGGTTTTTCAAAGCTTATACTTTTAAAGATTCTTGATATTTTTTATGATTACTTTTTAAAATTCGCATTAAACTTTTTTTCTGGTACATTTGGGTATATACCTGACTCAAATTTTTTTATTCAGCAATGTGTATATATATATATATATATATATATATATATATATATATATATATATATATATATATATATATATATATGTATATATATATATGTATATATATATATATATATATATATATATATATATATATATATATATACAGTGTAGGTAAAATTTTAAGGTCGGTATGGTAAAATTTAACAGGATATCTAACGCAGATATAAAATCATATTTTCAACGAATTAGACAAAGATAACAATCATATTTCCCCTTCGTCTCCCCTCCTAAAATCCTTTTAACACTCATTGGCCATTGCCCATTAGTGAGACGATTAGTTCCGATCAGATATTCTCTGGTTCCGATCCTAATATACCTAAAAAACTAGAGGTGGGTCTTCTCGTTTTTTTAATTTTTATCGGAACCGTTTTTCGTAAACTGTAACTAGTTGATTGTTTACCAGTATTCAAATTAGCGAGTACACAAACATATTAGCTATTATCGTTTATGTGTATAAGTATTGAAATAAAAGAACCTAACGAATGATATATTTATTGTAACTTGAAAAATAAATTAAATAATACAAATTGTACTTAAATAGTTACATTTACATTACACATTATTAAATCGCGAATCGTCTAAATTGACATTTAAAAACATAAGTTTTTCCACTTTCCACCATAAGGAAAAGATTTTGTTACAATACTACAACATTTTATGAATATAGTGGTTAAGTTACGATATACATGGCGATGGTTTTTTCACCACGGTAATGGACAGTTCCAATCTCCGTTCGAAATTGTTTGTGGGTAATATATCATCAGACAATTACATGTCGACTTGTTTTATACCTCTCGATACAGGTGTATGTTTAGATGAGTCATGTCCAATTAATTCATCAAAAATACACCATGGACTTAAGTCATCTTTATCAGTTTCTTTTTCTTGGACTGATTGATTTTCAAGATTTACTAAACTTTTCGTTTCATCCGTTTTCCATAGTTAAAGAACCAGCTTTTAAAAAGTTTGCAGGGTGGATTCCTGGATATAAACCGCCAACAAGAAAAACTTTGTCAGGTTCATTACTTCAGGAATGTTGTGTCAAAAGTGAGCAAATTATTAGATCGCAAGTTGTTAAAGAAGTAGAAAATATCTGTATTACTACTGACCTCTGGACATCTGGAGTAACTGAGAGTTACTTCGCATTAACAGGACAATATTTAACCGAAAATTTAGTATTCAAAACTTTTTTATTAGGCTGCTGCCATTTTTCTGGAAACCATAATCCAGAAAACAGCGATTACTGAAATTATTAATCAGTCGGGTCTAAAACGAAAAGTAAATTTTGCAGTAACTGATAATTCGTAAAATATGGTCAAAGCTATTAAATATGTTTTGTTTTATGATGATTGTGATTTATGATGATGATTAAATTTATTGGTGGGGGACGCACTTAAATGCTGTCGTGTACAAATAGATAAAATAAAAAGTCCTTTTTTCGACAATTCTGCAAAAAAACACATTTCAAAAAAGTACCTTATCTTCAGAAAGGCTTTTAAAGTATTAATTACAACAGAACACAGTTCCCAAACGGCCAATCCCAGACGTGGAAACTAGGTAGAACTTCACCTATTACATGTTAAAAAGAATTACCGAGTTAGAAGAGGCAACCCGTTCCACATTGGTATTAAATAATACAGACTTAGACTTAAACCTAATCTAAATAAAGAACACTGGATTATTTGTTCTCAACTTTCCCAAATTTTACGGCCGTTTAAAGAAATAACAAGTACAATGAGTGACCAAAAATACTTGAATGCTAGTTCAGTGATTGTTATGGTACGCTGCCTGCAAGAATCTTGCAATAAAATTTTAGCAAACGGCATACTTACATCCATAGTATCCGACATAGTACAATTACTAATATCGGGTTTAGCAAAAAGATTTAGAGGGATAGAACAGAGTGGCACATTGTCATTATGTACATCTATGGATTCACGATTTAAAGTGCTGAACAAAACAAAAAGTTAAGAAGCTGGTTACTTCTATAATTAACGAACAAGAAGATTGTACTATTGAAAATCAACCAGTACAAGAAAAAGAAACCAATAAATATGACTTAAGTCCATGGTGTATTTTTGATCAATTAATTGGAGATGACTCATCTACACGTACACCTGCATCGAGAGTCCATTACAACGGTGGAAAAACCATCGCCATGTATATCCTAACTTAACCACTATATTCATAAAGTATTGTAAATGTGAACACATGTTCAAAATCT